GAACAAAAGTACTAGTAGTAGAATTATGCATAAAATAATGATCGCATATCGATTGAGCTGTATGAAGAACGCTTGAGCTGTAGTAACGGCGAAGTAGTGGTCCGCCACAGCCGCGTGCGGCAAATCGATTACCAGAAATCGTTCCTAACGCCCGTCTCCCGGGGAACGGACCTAACCATGGCCATGCCGGCTAATTTCCGTTTAGAGGGTGGCGTCTTACTCGACTGTTTCCGAGATGCGTGAGGAAGAGACAACCTTCGATTCTTCTACTGCACAACCGAAGGTCTACCAACTCACAGAAGAAGCTCTACAAAATCTCATTCAAGCTCAAATGGGAAATTCATCTTCATCTGCCCCGCCAAGTGACCATATATTCAGCAGGACAGGTTTGGAAAGACAGTTTAAGTCTAATCAGAAGATTATTTATCGGCAAGGGCCGAAGAGATAGACCGCACGGACGAGCGACCCCCTAAACGCAAGGCGTACTAATGATCATAGGAGGTCAGAAACTGATCGCGCGGGGGAGCGAAGATATCGAGTAGGGTGGCTCAGTAAGTTAGGTATGCGACTCGTTTCCTCTTCTGAGGTGAGGTCTCCCCTCATCTCTGATATGCTCTGTATGGCCTCTGTGGCCGCTTCATCCCTTAAGGGCCTTTGTGGCCGATCTTTCATTGAAGGCCTGTGTGGCCGTAGCTCGGGGGGTCTAGGTTACCCAAATAGTCGAAGGGCCTTAGCGGCCAGATCTAGCCTAAGTAGCAGGAATAGTGTAGCGGCCTTAGTGGCCGAGATCTCGAAACCAGCGTGGGTCCCTAGGTATCCCTTAGGGGCAAGTGGGTTTGGTAGTTCACGACACGGGAGGAAGTACGAGTGTGTTCAGGGGAACGCCAGTAAAGGCACTCTCTCTCTTCGACTACCCCGAGAAGCCAAGTGATCTGTAGGATTTCATCTGATCTTTATTTGTAATTTCTTTGCCGTTGCCCTGTGTTTATTGTTCTGTTGTTTCTTGTAAGAATTTGCCTTCATTCTTTTCGTACGTTCTATTCAGTGATGCACTCCACCATTACCTATTTCACGACAGTCGATTTTTCTATATATATTAATATTATTCGACCGATTATCGACCTCACTCTAGAAGGCAATGTTAGAGATAGTTTGGCGAAAGCTGTGTCGCTATTAACAGCTAGGAACGGACGGACGGAGTTGTATCTGTCCTTGCTTTTTACGATCAACACAAAAAGGCGGAAGTTACCAAAGATCCCATCCTAGCTGAATTTTCGAAGAAGAAAGAAGAGGAAGAAACGAAGAAGAAATCGGCGGCAAGTCGGTTCGACCACTACCTCAGAAGCAAGACTCCCTTTCGATTCTCGAGGGCGGCATGGGCTCCCGCTCCTCACCGATGCATGCCCTAGCGTGCCCACTTATTCTCAGGAATTAACGGTAAAGGTACTTCCGACAGCTCCACAGTGGAAAGGCGCCCTATGGGCAGAGGTGCCTCGTCAAGAGACGTGTGCTATGGATGTGGGCGATTTGGGCACATTGTGGAAGAGTGCAAATTTCCGAGAAGTTCCAAATAATTTTGTAGCAGGTAGCAGGTGTAGAGTTTTGATTATCTTTGAATGTTTCTTCGTTGTTAGGGACGGCTTTGATGGAGGGCTACCTCCCGAATTTCGGTTCACGAGTTGGACCTAATCTTGAATATTCAGAATCGAGCAGAAGTTCTGCCATGATTCATAAAGACTTTGTTTCAGAGCAAATTTAGTCTTTTTAAATTTAGTCTTTTCAGAGCAGTTTCAGTCAAAAGCTATCTCTTTATGTGACAAAATCCAACGTATTCGAATCAACCCGTTATCCGTAGCCGAAAAAGGTAAGAAATTACTCCCCATATTAGACTTGTAAGATTTGAACAAGTTGTTCGCGAAAGAAAATGTAAGTTTGAGGACATGTCAAAGGTTAGAGACCTTCTGCCTAGTCATGGCTTCATGACTTGTTTTCAGGGCCTCACGGGCTAGGAGTGGCAATTTACTTGGATGGCGTGATAATTTGGGCTAGTTCAGAAGAAGAGTGCAGGGTCTCCTCTGCGACAGTAAGGGAAGTATTCAAAAGACAGGATTTTACCTCGCGGAGGAGAAGTGTTCCTGACAGCCTTGCCAGAGAATGACCTGGTTTGGTCATGTTATTGATCGTAGAGCAATATCGCAGGACATTGCGGAAAAAAGAAAGGTCGAAGCGAGATTGATCATAAATGCTCTACGAAAAGTAGCGGTCCTTCGTTGAGAGACAGATTGAGACTTTTAGGGGCCCTAGCTTCGATGCACAAAATAGTCAACGGGCATAAGCTTGGTTTCAGATGGACATTGACCTCGGTGGAATAGGAAGAGATCAGACGTAGACTGGTCTTTCTAGAGAATACTATGACAGACCTTCAAGTTTTCCCCCAAATTTTCCGGGATTATTTCGTAATATCAACGGACGCGTCAAATTCAGGAGTGGAACTTCTCGGCATTTTGGTGGCAATTAAAGCATTCGTGCATTTGAGTAGTTACGAAACAGACGGATAGCCAAGCGGCTCAAGCGGTGTTCTATAAAGGTAGTTTTAAAGATCTTTTACATCAACTGGCTTCACAAATATGGGAATTGGTAGAACGACTCAAGATCGACCTGGAGGTATTTTGGATACCTAGAGAACTCAACGGCGATCAGATAGTGCATCACGAATAGTGGACTTGAACGGATGGTTCATCATTCATCTTTGACAAGTTGAACGAGAAATGAGGGACATTTGAGGTGGATATGTTGGCAGACTCAAATAACAAAAAGTGTCGAACGTTTGTTTCCAGGTGGTACTGCGAGGGCTGCTCAGCCCTCGACGCCATCAGTGAACTCGCATCGCAATTCTGGACCGAGCATTATTGCTGGTGGGTTCCTCCACCATATTTGATAATTCACACCCTTTTTACAGACAGAAGATTTAAAAGCCGATAGGTAATAATTTTTCCTCTTTGGCCTTCGCATATCATGTTTCTTCCCCGTACACAAAATCAGGATGCATCCGGGAGGTTTTAGATATATTCATTGCCGCAAAAGGGAGCGCGCTCATAGGAAACGGTTCACCATCTTATACATTTAGCCCTCCTTCCGTCAATTCGATTTGGTTTTCGCTGAAATTGATTTCTCTAATGACGCTGAACCCTCGCGCTTCAAAATTCTGATGGGTTAGTATAAGCAAAATGGAGTTTCTGCAGTAGTTTCGGAGGCCATATCGAGGTTTTCCGTGGGCTAACGAGTTGGTAGAGGGTATTTCGTAAAGGTATTTCNTAAGGTCAAGCGCCTCGATGAGGCGCGAAGACCACGGGATAGTGGGGGCGTGTCAGGTCACGCGGTTCCTTACGGAGCGTGACGTAGCTATGGCCCTTCCGGCTAATTTCTGTTTAGAGTGCCCACCAAACTTGCCCTAAGTCTACGGTTTAGTGACGCCTTTTTCAGGCCCGACGGCATGATCACAAACATTCGCGACAGCTCGCAGTGAAGGAAAAGAAGAATTGGCTCAGATTCTGGGCATATCAGCCACCAATTCCCTCGCCCAGGGCGCAGTGTCTGTTTACTTGGCTATGAGAATTCGCTTCGAAACCTATACGTCCTCCCTGCTTATCCCCAGGGCACATTTAGGGAAGCTCAGAAATCTCTTCATTGCCCATTAGATACTTGGAAAAGATTTCGACAGCGGCCCGAAAGTTCCTCTATGGACAACTGGAGGGAGGTGAAGCAGAGTTTCAGAGACTATTGCTGGACTCTGCAAAAAGAGAAACCTTCGCAGTGAATAGGAGGAAGGCTTCAAAAGAGGACATCAATACTTGTTAATTGGGCTTTGCTAAACGGATCACAAAACGAAACAGCAAACGTGCAGAAAAAGCACGTCAGGACAAAGGTCAGGGAATTTGGTGGCTATTTATACCAAAATCCAAAACGGATCAACTGAAGAGAGGAACAACGACCAACGACGGCGTTCAAATAAATAAATAAATAAAACCGATACTATTAAGGCAAAGTATTAAGATATAAGGGGGGAGAAGTCAAAGAAGTAGTTCAACTTCCGTTTCGCGGCGGTGTTACGGCCATTTCGCAATGGCCGTAACACCGCCAATTCGACTAAGTGAATTCGTAGTAGGCAGTATACATTCGAAGGTTGGTTTTGGATTGGTTCAAGCGTATAAGGAAGACTCATAGGGAGGGATTTCCACAAACTTTTATACTTTTTCAGATATCACATTCATTGAGAGTAATCGTAATTCTGCATTTGTCTACGAAGATTCTGTTTCAGATCAGGTTGATTTTGCTTGAATCTAACAGTATTCTCAAGTGTCAGCCCAGTCATATCGTTCGAGTTAATCCGCTCTTAGTCGCAGGAGGTAAGAAACTTCGTTTGATTTTGAACTTGTCAGATTGAGAAGTACCGTATAAAATCCGAGGAATTTCCAAGATCAGAAATCTGCTTTCAAGTCAGGGTTTTATGACCGCTTTAAATCTGAATCCGGGTTATCATCACGTGTTGGTCCAGAGGGAATTCAGAAAGTACCTCGGCTTTTGATGGAGAAGTCAGANATCACGTGTTGGTCCAGAGGGAATTCAGAAAGTACCTCGGCTTTTGATGGAGAAGTCAGAAATATGTTTTTAACGCCCCTCCCTTGAGCTTTCTCTGTTATCCAAGTGGAGGTCCCGAGGTGTGGGCTTCGCCATTTACCTGAATGATGGTTCAATTTGGGGCGTTACCGAAGCAGAACGCAGAGAGATTCCTCAAAACGTCAGATAACACTTGCTAGACGAGAGTTTCTTTTTGGCAGAGAAGAAAAGTACATGGCTTTCTTGCCTAAGACTGACCTGGTTCGGTCATATTATCGATCTAGAAGAAGTGTCGTTGGACATTACGCGGGAAAGAAATGAGAAGGCACTATCGTGCTCGAATGCGATGCTGAGGAAAAAGAGGCCTTCGTTGAGAGAAAGGCTAAAAACGTTAGGGTTTTTGGCTTCGATGTACTTAGTGATTTTTCTAGACATAAATAAGAAAAATGCTACTCATCGCCGGGAGTCACATTCAAAACATCGGAAGGTCAAAGCCTATCGTCCAGATGGCCCTTAGCTCTGAGAAAAGTGAAATTAGAAATTGGATAAACTTCCTCCCCCATAGCGAAACCGCTTTGCAAGTTTCGCGCCATCCCTTCGACGATTTCTATATAATCTCCACAGATGCCTCGGAGTCTGGGGTGGGAGCAGTTTTCCGTTCCTCATTTAGGCGATATGCAACTGGCTTTAGCGTTTTACCGCCCCATTTGAGTAAGGCATCTAGCACCACTCGCGAGCTTTACGGAATACTACATGCCATAAAAGCGTTTGGCGCGCTGATAGCGGGCGAGAAAGTTCAAGTTCAAGCCTAGCCAGGGAGCTCAGACAGTTTTTTACAAAGAAAGTACAAAGAGCTTACCTTACTAGTACCTTCAAAACCTAGCAAGTCAGTTTTGGCTGGTGGCAGAAAACTCTCCCTTCGCTTAGAGGTGTTTTGGACTTTTAGAGAATTGAATATGGAACAGATGAAATATCTAGATTTTAGATTTGGATGGATGGTCTATCATAGACTCCATATACGATAAACTGTTTGAAAATTAGGGTCCGTTTGAGGCTGACATGTTTGCGGACAGTAGATGTGAAGCGTTTGTTTCCAGATGGTTCAGTGAAGAGTGTTCAGCAGTCGATGCATTCAGTGATTCCGCGGCAGAATTGTGGACCCGGTGTTATTGCTGGTGGGTTCCTCCTTCTTACTCAGTTTCATATACTGTGTGAACCGCTAGAAAGTCGAATAGCAAAGGCGTTATCGGGTTTCCTTCGTGGTTATCACATATATTTTTTACGTCATTGCGTACGTCGTCGCGGTGGATAGCGGAAGTAAAAGATACGTTCGTGGTACCTAAAGGATCCAAGCTTATCAAGGATAGATCCCTTCCTTCACGCTTTCCTCGGTGAACTTCGATTTCATTTTTGCCAAAAACGATTTTTCGCAGACGACATAAACCCTCGTGCTTTATAATTCCGACGAGCTAGCCGAGCAAAATGTAGTTTCTGACGGAGTCTCGTAGTCAAAAGCTTGTTTTGGCAGTCTAGCAAGGACATCCCTTACGATTACGAAATAAGCGTGTTAGGTCACGCGTCCCTAGGGGACGATGACCTGACGAAACGATTTCATTTCGGCGTATTCCTGGTCGCTGTGTGCCCACCCTTCCGCCCCATGTGTTGCTTCGGGATACTTAGTCATATTACTCGCAGGTCAGCGATTTGCATTCTGAGCGTTTTCAATTCAGGTCCGAAATGGAAGGCCTGGCGGAGACCATAGTGACGGCCAGGAGCGCAGGGATGGAGGAGTTAGCCCAAGTTATCGGCACTTCTGCAAGTAAATCCTCAGCCCCGGCATCTATTGCGGCCTACTCGTCTATGAGGAAGCGTTTCGAAGACTTTGCGTCTACTCTGTCGGTGGATAGATTTGACGTGGGGGATTGAGGACCCTTTTTCTTGCGCACCTGATCAAAGAAAACCAGTTCAAAATTCTTCAAATGGCCATAGTGCCTCTCAACTTCTTTCATGGTCGGTTAGAGGGAGGAGATGCGGAGATCCAGAAGCTTCTCATAGATTCTGCTGAAAAGGAAACTCCTGTGGTGATACACAAATAGAAGGCCTCCGAGGAAGACATCGATAAAGTCGTCGATTGGGCCCTGAATAAATACAATATAAATAAAAAATAAGTAGTATAGTATAAATACAATTAATATAAATGCAATCAAAACTACTGATGGCTGCCGTATTATTTTATTATCATTTGCGGCTTTCCTCAGAATCAGCGAGGCGGCAGCAGTGCGTAAGGAGCATTTGGAGTCGAAGAAGGGCAGCGTTTGGTGGATACTAATGTCTGAAACAGACCAGTGTAAGAGTGGAAAGACCGTAGCGTTTAAATTTCAAGGCGGACGTTTAGTTCTTTAGAATAAATTTTTCCGATCGTTAACCGATAAATCTCGCCACCATTCCATCTTCGCCCCTTCTCTTACTAAAGTTCCCTCTACCACGCCCTACGGAAGCGAATGAGGAACGTTCTTCGCTGTTCTGGCCCGCGGGACAAAGGCCTGACGTCACATTCTTCCCGAGGAGGAGCAGCCACTGCAGCCCTAAGAAGGGGAGTCAGCAGCAGGATATAAGGAGAGTGGGACGATGGAATTTCTCAACATCTATGCNGAATTATTTGGATTCTACTCCCACTCAAAACTCACCATAGGTATCCTTTTTCATATATCACAATCAGTTACGATCTGTTGTTTCATAATTGAATTAGAGCCTAGTCCCTTCATCAGCTCATTCGTGCAGTAGATCTCCAGACTCAATCCATAGCATCAACGTATTCATACTGCACCGAATTCGCCCGGTATCGTGAGAAAGAATTTCTTACGGAAGGTCTCATCAGCTATAATCAGGCTACGCATCCCACTGTCCAGCCATGTAAGCATACTATTCTACTATGTCCATAAATATATAATGCTCGTGTTAAGAATAGGCATTCATGCAGGCTATTCCAATGTGCTCGCTAAAGGATTTTGCTTGTGTGCTTATGTTATTATACTGCGTCCGCAAACGTATTTCGCTTATGTGCAGAATTGCTATTCACATGTTATTTTACTGTGTTCACAAACGTACTTCGCTCATGTGCACAATCGCCGTTTATATATTGTTCTACTGTGCCCACAAAGTGCTGCACTCATGTACAGAATTGTTATTACTGAAATATTATGTATAATATTACGGATGTATTGATGAATAGCGTATCCAGGAACAAAGCCTTCGTCCACGAGTCGGTCAAGCAAGATGAAGTTTTTGACGGAGTCTCGTAGGCTAAACGAAAATTCAGTACGGCACTCGTCTCTTACAGTAATCCGGCACAGCATAACCCGCAAATTCTCAACCGTCACATATACGACGCGTCGAAAAGGGGCCTAGGGCAAAGGCACGTATATGAGTGGTGGACAAGCTAGAGGGTTACTGTAAGTGCTGAGTGCCCGTACTGAACTTTCGCTTCTCACAAATCCGCAATGCGTCATATGTACGGTGTACAGATGCTATTCAAGATTATAAAGCCTTGTTCCCTTTTGAGTCACTAAAAAGTCCAGTGCGAAATTTGCTTCTATTCGTTAGATCCAGGGACGCAACTTCCACACGTTGACTGCAGCGTGCGTTTTGGGTTTTTTCGCCGCGTAGGACTGGAGCGTTTTGCGAGCACGACTGCCGCAAAGCGCTCTCGCGAACATGGTCCTTCGAGTTGCGCTTCTCGGAGCTCAGAACTCTGAGAGCTATTTGTGAATGCTGTAATTGCATGAGCTAATTCAAGCCATTAAAGCTAACAAGAAGAGGTCCTATTCACCGGAACTCGTGCTCATGAAAAACCTATTCATGCATGTAAAACGGCTGAATTACGTGAAGATTTCGAGGATAGTAAATTCGATAAGCGCCTAATCCAGTTGGTACTTGAGCGTCGTATTTTGAGGAAAGCGTCGAACTCCTGTATGGAAGTCCAATCGTGTCTGAACCTCAATGTCTCAAAAAACACTGTTCGGAAGGTGATCAGAAAGTTCAAGGCGTAAGGTGCCGTTCATGGCAAAAAGACATTGAGAAAATTGGTTTGCTCTCGACAGAGGTAACAGCCGGAACGAGTGAAATAAAGTGTTCTTCCTGTGCTGACATTTGACCTCCCTTCTCTTAATGGTTTTTCTTCTTCAGATCGTTTTTTCCGATGAAAAGCATTTCATTTGTGATGGTCCAGACGGGAACCGATTTCACCGGCACGACCTGAGGAAGGAAAATTTAGGTTTTCTCGACGGGAATACAAGGGAGGAGGAGTCATGGTTTCTGCGGCGATTTCATCGATAAGCGTATCGTTTATGTTTTCTACCAGAGGAGATGAACTCGCCCTTTTATCGAACTGTCATGCGCCGTGCACTCCTCCCTTTCTGGCGTTAGAATCGGTAACGGAATCTTGTTTCTTGCAAGACACCCCAATTCAACAGAATCACAAAAGCTTGGTTCTCTCGGCATCGAATCGCACTTCTGCCCTTGCCGGCGAACAGCCCAGATTTGAATTCGATGGAAAATGCATGGGGCTTTGTGATGCAGAAGACTTATTCCCAAAACAGGCAATTCCAATGCGTCAAGGAGTTGATAGAAGCGAACATCGAAGCATGGCACCAAGTAGACTAGGAGCTGATTGATAGTATTCATTTGAGCCTAGACCATAGTATTTCCGAAGTAATTCGAAGAAATGAGGGACCAACTGATTATTGACTCTGCAACTGTCCCTCCTTGTTGTATGTCTGATGTCGAATAAATTAATTTTATTAGTGGGTATATCATTTGGAGACGTTGGTAAAGCACCCTTTACTGAAAAATAGAATGAAAAATGTGTTTTTNTTTTTATACGTATGTGTGTTTCTATTGTTATATGGCAACAAAAAGTAATAGAGTAATGAACGAGAGTGAACGGAATATGCTAAATTAGTATACAATGTTGGACCTTGTATAGAGGTGATCTGCCCGTTAACTAGGAGATCTGGTTGAACGAAGCTGTATGTGAACTATAGCTTTATGGAACATCATTTATGGCTTTTGATATTCGCGCCCTTCTGGACCACCCAGGAACACAACAACTAGCGACGACGATCACGACTTCAAGGGCCACGCCATCACCGCGAGAATGGCAGGAGACTTTCCAATCGAGTACCTGCTGCAGTTGATGGCCACACAGGGAAAGCTCCTCGTCGACCTGTTCAACAAGATGGCAACGCCTACAGACGCATCGCTAGAAACCGTATTCGACCTGATCTAAGAGACAATCAAAGGTTCTCCCACGATGGTGACCAAGACGACTCCTTCGACCTGTGGTTCAACCGGAACAAGGACGTTCGGCTTTCGAGGGATAAAGGAGCAAAGGCACGCTTGCTGGTCTCTGCACTGACGCTATAAGCCACCCCGCTCCTCTCGCAACATGCTTTCTAAGGAGCCGTGAGAATCGAGATGAGCTGGGTACTGTTGAAGTGCTGAAGGCGTCGTATGGCGCCGGAAAAGGATCCTTATCCGCATTTTAGGATGTTACTGGATGAGATTGTCTCCCAACGAAGACATTGACAACTTCGTCTGCTTACTCAAAGCTCGCGCTGTGGAGCCAACTTCAAGGACGTTCCACGAGTATGTTACGTACGTTACAGGTCGGGGCTTTTATGCTCCCAGACGGGTCTTGCACTACTTAACCGACTCCGGTGGGATGGAAGGCTTGGTTTTCCTAGGCGGATATCATTCAGGGAATCGAACCGGTGATCATGCGTGTGTGATAGTACGCCACGTGGCACTACACCACTTCCGCACTCGAAAGCAGTATATCGAATTAATCGTTATATCCGTAGGTCACCAAGTATTGCCTGACAAATCTATCGCTCTGATTATGCCGTTCTCCTCTCCATTGGATCCCCCTCGCGTACATGCGTATTTTTGGGCATTTCTCTTCGAAGTTTTGTGGTCTGTAATGTTATTATCGAGATCTAAGCTATCGATTTTGATAGACATATCCGTAAGTGTAATTAATGATTATGATTAATTAATGCCTTTGTGTATGCTTTTTGTCCTTGTTTCCGTGGATCCAAAACCTGTGAAGTTGACAGGAAAAGAGGCGGCAGGAAGGGAACCCCAAGGCAGAACTGCACTTCGCAACAGGGATGGGGCGGCGCGAAAAGTCTTTCAGAATTAGAGGGCCCGACTTTGATAGGGTCGTAGGCGGTCGGATGGTCACTGATGGATGGGAACACTAATGGTGAGTGGTGGATTTGGACGCCGCCTAGTCCTACCACCTACCTTTCA